ATGGATACTTGTATGATTGTGTACACTAATGTTATTTTAGTATCAAGGGTGGATAAAGTTATCCACTGGATAGGAGTTATCCACTGTATATAAGGTTTATATAGATTTTATACACTGGATTATTAGGTGGTGACCACATTAATGGATATTATTTAAATTCAGGGACTGATTTCTAAGTAAAATTTATTGCTTTATAGGTCATGATTAACTTTCTTATGGTTGGTCATACCCATGAGGACATTGATCAATTTTTCAATCGGTAAGTAATATATATAATTTAAGTGCATTTAACCCTCTTTTTTGCTTATTGGGAGAGGTTAGGGGTGTTAGTCAGCAACTACACTGTATAAGGACTATAAGGCCACAAATCAAAAAAACTCAGCAGAGGTAAAGAACAATCAAAACAAATTTTGAATATCAATTGCCCTATTTCATTATGACGTCACAGTATGTTTACATCGGAAAACGATGCTCAAAAACATTGGAAATTTGGACCCATTTGTATTGTTTACTAAAGTAGAACTTAAATGAATCGTGTTTTGATATATATCATGTACTTATAAATGATTGTTCATGTACATTTTATTTGATATGCAGTCACTCTGATCCCTTCTGGCGACCATAATCCTTAGCGTTAAAACAATACATGTTTTGATGTGACGTCATAATGAACTAAGGCAATTAGTATCAATTTTTGATATAAATTGATCTTTAATTATTAAATTGATATCATTTTTTATCAATTGATGGCAATCATCATCAATTAATTACGTCTTACCTCCAGCGTTGCAGATTACATTGGAACACGAGACATTCGTGCTGTCTCAGGTACAGATACCCAATTCCAAATTTCAAAATCATATTTTAAAGTATAATGATAAAAATGCTGAAAACAAGCCGTAGAGAGGCGACTTTTGAGGGGATCATCGCATTAGTTCATTCGAGACCAGTCCCTTTGTACGTGATATGGCCAATTAGTTACCAGGTATCTTTCCTTATATGGAAACGTGTCGTAATTTGAAATTCTCTGGACGTACGTGCGGGTCACACATCATGTAAACTGGCGGTAGTCATTTCGAAAGTTCGAAGATAAAAACCGTATTTAAATCATCCTAATGTTTTCAAGCTGTTCTCATGCTAAGCGGTAATTATTTCCATGTTTTTTTTGGTATGAATTCCTAGCTTCAGCAGAAAGATGCCGTTGAGCTATTTTAATAGCTTATATTTTAATAACTTAAAAGTTAACTTACGGCGATTGATTTTCTAATTTGTATTAGTCTTTGCTTATTTGCTTACTTATCTCGCTGTATTTTACATCTTGAATTAGAGCTTATGAAAGCTGTGGAGAAGTGTTATACTCCAAAAGCAAAAGCTGTGATGATTGATCGAGTCTACGATGTCAAGGCATGGATGGAAGAATTCGCCCTTCCAATTCGTAATGTTTCCAACCCTCATGTGTTCAAGATAACGAAGGATTCATCAAGTGACAAAGTTTATCTGCAGTATAAGAACTGGGCGAGCGACAAAACGGAAAACTGGAAGCCAGAAAGTGAAGACCAAGATCAGTGGTTGGAGTTATTTAAGGTTAGTTTTGATTTTTATAGACTACAATTAACGTACAGTAAACGCCGTTAGTCTGTTCGTACGTCCCTAATACGCGCACTTGGTTTGTAATTCGTACGGGACTCCAAATTATTTCGATTTTAACAGTGATTCTGTGATTCTGTCAGTGATATCATCGTTTGGATGGAGTAAGCGATTTTTTAAAGCTATATTAAAATAGGTCGAGTCATATAACTTAGTATTCCTTCGAGTCTGTACATAGTGGACACAAGTCCTGAAGTCATACTGTGGAGCAGGTCAAATTATAACTTATTAGGACTTTGGTTTTTACTATTTATTGAGTGTTGTTTGCAAGAAGAAAGCATACAAAGAGATGCTATTTGTTTTGCGACCGAATTTCAAAGGCTATATTTCGTACAAACTTTCGACGAACGTAGCTGCGGCGATTCAAACTGACGCACGGAGGACTTCTGTTTGCTATTCGTACAGGAATTCAATGATTAATATTTCCACAAAAACAACATATTTTTCCCAGAGATTTACAGAGCATCTCTCTTTTTCACGGTTTCTTCCAGTATGTAATAATGTACAGTATTAGTTGTAATTCGATTTTAGTCCTCTAAGCTTGTGGACCTTGTGACATTGGATTCGAGTTTACAAAAAATCTTGTAAACACGTACGCCCTCATATAAGTTTCACGTGTTATATGTGGTACTCGCACGAGTTTAAAGATCAATAAAATCTTGAACAATGCGGTACGGTGCAGTGTTTTCAATAGGTGACTTGTTTTGCTTTTGATTTTTACAGCTTATTTCAAAACTTAACAAAAACCCTTGATGGTGTATGTAAACAATAAACAGTTACCCTGTCCAAAAGAAATGTTGTTTATAGTTGCTGTTCATTCATTCTTTTCTCTGGTTTTGTAACAAATTAATACAATGATAACACAAATATCTATGTCAAAACCCATATGTTTAAAACTAGGTTTTAATAACTGCTCAACAGGCTGATGTCGAGATAAAGAAAGATGAGGTGCCTGATCTCGTCATTCCAAAACTTGAAAAAATTGATCTGGTGACCTTACGGAAAGACATAAAGAAGTTTTACGACGGATCTCGGGTTTTTGCACCAGAAGTCCAAGATGAGTGGACAACTCTCTTGGACCAAGATAACCCATTATGGAATCAGCAGGAAAAGCCATCAACTTGGCCACTTCATGATTTGATTATTGTAAAACAGCGCCAGACACAGCCAGTTGTTCAAGCACATGAAGAGGGCTTTCTAGGAGAGAGACCACAGGGGGTCCCTAAAGACATAGATGATATGATAAAAGATCAGGTCGCTCCAGTAAAAGAGGTAATTTCAAGAACCAAATCAAATATCTAGAAAATGGTACAGTGGGACCTCTATAAAGCGGTCACCCTTGGGACTAGAAAAAGTGCACTGCTTAATAGAGGTGACCATTGAATAGAGGTACTAAAAACAGTAATTTATTTTGTGAGAAATTTTTTGGGACTTTGTAAAGTGACCGCTGAATAGAGGTTGACCACTTAATAGAGTGCCACTTAATAGAGGTAAATCTTGTAGCTGGAGAGTTTCACCCAACTTCAATCCATAATTTTCAAGGAAGTGTTATATACACAATACACAACAAAAATACCAATTTTATCATTTTTTACAGGTTTACACTGGAACTTACAGACAACCAGAAATACCTATTAATGAAGTGGATGACTACCATCTGGTAGCCATAGGTGACTTGGTGGCTGTTAACGTAGATGGTTACCGCCCTCCATGTCTTGCCACTGTCATTGAAATACTGGAGGAAGCCTTTAGAGTAAAGTGGCTGAAAGGGAAGTATACTACAAAGTGGGCACCTTGGCCACAATGGCCCATTGATAATATACCCAAAGAGAGTGTCATTTATTTTGGGTTTGCATTGGAAGAAGATAAGTTAGTGAAAGATGATGTAAAGATTTTAAAACAACGTTATAAAAAGTTATAAATTTCTTTCAACATTTCTAATACAGTGCATATATAATCTGGTAATTGATCGAATTGTTACCATGTGTCCAGAAAAAATACTTTGGTAATTACCGAAGTAAATTGCAAGTTGTTTTGGTTAATTGATCGAATTGTTACCGTGTGTCCAGAAAAAATACTTTGGTATTTACCGAAGTAAATTGTTGTTGGATATGGACACTTAATTGAATTCTTACCATGTGCTACAAAAAATACTTTGGAAACTGCCAAAATACTTTACACATAGACTCTGTTGATTATGTCAGCTTTTTGTATATATAAAGAGAAATTGTCCTTTCCAATTAACTTTGACTTTTTTATGTCAAAGCATTTAGTTATGTACCAGGTTTTGAAATGTAGTAAAAAGCATATGTTATATGTTATATTTGTTACCATGTATCCTTGGTAGAATTCTTCATAAATAAGAAGAAATGTAACATTTTGTTATTTTTGGTTAATAAAATATTTTATCAATAAAAACTGTGCCATTGTTATTTTGGCAGTATTTATGTGGGTTTGATAACATTTACACCATTGCATGATTTTTTGGTAACTAATTTGAAATCCCATTGAATTTTTACAATCACTTTGGTAAATAATAACCTTATCAAGAAAAATTTTACCAAAAAAGCTACTTCAGAATATTGGTACTTAAAAAATTGCCTGTTATCACCTGTTATTGTGTTTGTGCAGGTTGATGATGATAACGCCTGGTCGTACGTTCCGAAAGCAAACACATRCTCCAACATCCTGTTTCTCCCAAAGCCATCGACTCAAACCAAACTCCCAGCCGAGCCCGAACTTTTTAACGTCTACGATTGGGCATTTTCTAATGCATACTTTGGACGAGTCTGAGTGAGAAATCCTCACTATTCCTGCAACTATGACTAAATGTAAAAGGCCTTTATTCCGYCATACAKAGTTAGTGTCTAACCATAGTTAATTGAGGGGAATGGTTATGAAGGCCGGCGAACTTCAAAGGAGCAGTAATGCAGAGAATTTAAGACCACAGTCGAGCAGTACTTTCCATAAAATTTGCTGCCATTACTTGTGTAACCATAGAAAAGAGTCTTGATGTTCTTAACTCCCTCTTCAGTACTTTCTTAACTCCCTCTTCAGTACTTTCCCAATTGAAGKAGGCTACAATCCTGGACAAAATGGTTRATAAAATCGACACGCACGTCCATTTCTCAGGCATATATATCGATATCTTGTGAAATATTGAAGAAGAAAAAATTATATAAAAATTATAGAAATATTGAATTCCCCTCCCCCCAATTCAATGTTGGGCTATGGATTTATGTTCGTAGAGGTTCCTGACACAACATTGGGAAGACMAAATATTATCATTGCAGGACGAGCATAGGATAATTGTGTCTTGTCATTAAAAAATTCTCAACTCTTTTTGTCCAGGATTATAGTTCACTTCGTAAAACCTCGGAATGAGCCTTATTATCTTTAAGATTTAAGATAAAATCCTTTAAAATATCGTTTAGGATGGCTCCACTGAAAGGAACTTGGTGTTCTGTATCTCTGTGCTTTGTGGCTTGGTGTCTCTCGTAGCCGCCTTTGGTTTTGTATTTCTTTCCGCATTTCTTGTAGATAATCTCTTGACTTTGGACCTTAAAGGTCAAATGCAACGGAAAATTCGATGATTTTTTAACACTTGGAAAAAGAAGTTCTTGCTATGTTCAATACATACGCGAAGCGAGAAAACTGGAAGATTTTTATTTTTCGAGATATCAGGGATTGAAAAGTGTTGTATTTCCGTTGACCGGTCGTTCATTTTCGGTAATTAATCGGAAGTCAGTCGGAGACGCCKCCAATGACGTCACAGATGGTGCCGGTTTTTCGACGGTACACTTCCCGCCACCAGAACACAGGCCGTGTTCGACAAGAATTTTAATGCTATAAAACGAAGAAAAACTCGACATTCTTATTGTGGGGAAAGCAGATGCCCATACTTCAACTGTCGAATCGTCTACTGTCGAAAAAACAACAAAAATGGTAAGATTGTAGATTTTGATAGCCAATTTTGTTTGAGTGATCAACACTGAAGATAAGTTAATACCGCCGGCTTTGTAGAGAAACCTTTGAAAACAATTTCGAAAACAATTCGAAATACACGTAAGAATTTACTCAAAGATAGTATTTCCTTTTTCTCTTGTAACTAGAATCTTGAAATCCATAAAGCAAAGCATAGTTGAACACCTAAGAGCCGTGGCTTGTAATATTGAAAATGACAATATTGAAACTGACAATGAAAGGCCACATCGACATTCAAAAATATATGACGACGTCGAGATTATGACAATTATGACGACAAAGACTGGTTATAGTAGTGCTATATTATATAAGAACCACGTTAAGTGTTTAGTCTATTACAAACAAAAACAATGGACAATATTTATATCCTTAGGTCTAACTATGGTTTAGATGAAGAAGAATTGCTAAAAAAGGATAAGACCTCACATGGAAACNCAGATATAAATACTGAAAGATAAAAATTATGCATGTGCTAAATTATGCTATAGTTTTCTATTCTATTTTCTCTAGCAAGTGTTTTGAAAATTTTTACTTGGCAGACACATTCTTGGGAAACTTGATATATGCACTCTAACCAAAAAGGTTTACAAATTTACAAAGCAAGTACTAACAATGACATTGACTTCATAATAAGACAGATAACAATAGCATTTAAATAATGATAATAATAAATAAGTTTAATCATACCCTTCGCATTTGTGGTCGATGATAATAAATTTAAAAATACCTAGACAATTCAACAGATATTGTAAAAGGATTTTATTGCAGCTCATATAAGAGTGAAAATTATACAAAGTTACAAGGTACGCAATAAATACTAGATGAAAAGAGAAGCATTAGACCATTGCAAGAATGACCTCTTTACCTTAGAAGTAGAGCCTCCTCTCAATACATGATAGAAGAAATGGTAATTCTACAGTTTGGTTAAATAACTCAGAAATAATCAAAGAAAATGAACATTATGACAATGAAGGACTACATTGAAATCACATTAAGTTAAAAACGTAATCAACATGCCTGTAGGCTGGCTTACAAATTTTCATAATGTGGAYCTTAGCACAGGTATAAGCTAGATAGTGTGTAAGAACTGGCTGCTAGACTGACAATGAGCAGTTCATAACAAAATAACCTCAAAAACAGTTCATAACGAAACACTTTTCCGTAAATCTCACCAGCATTATAATCGCTTTCCTCTTCTGCGAACAGATTTACGTTTTAAATAGAGCTAGTTTTCCTCACTTTCTCGGCGATTGAATAGTATCGTATTCCGAACTCGATTCTTCTTCGTCTGAATGATGGAAACTGGCGGTAAACTAGTGCTGCAATAGGCTCATATTGGTATGGACGAACTTCACTGGTCGTTCTTCTTGAGATATTATTATTTAAAACCTTATACTGTACGTAAAAATCAAACGAAGAAACCAACAAACAGCTATGCCATCGCTATGCCACTGTTTRCTGAAACCTCATCTCACCATCTGTGACGTCATCACTCGATTCCATTCCTCGCGCGGAAAWATTGACGTTCTTCGGAGTGATTTCGGAAGTCCAAAAGTAATCGCTAAAAAACTGAGGTAAAACTTGAAGAAATTTGCTCAAAATGAAAATATAACCTTCTCTTGACTTTAAGTTTCATTTGAAATCGTAAAAATAGGATTGGTTTTTYCGTTGCATTTGACCTTTAAGAAAAGGAAATCCATAAGACATGTTTACAAACTAATTTTTTCAAAGAGATAACTTGGAAATAACTGCATAGAAATGCAGAACATTGTGTGTTTCTTATGTAGTTTGCGGAGTGATCATCGCTCCACATCGTTGTTAAAATTTGTCATTTTAAGCTTGTTAAAACGTAAAAATAGGTGATAATTATACTATATTTAAAACTTACATTCTCAACTTCATTGATAAACTGCTCTTCAACTCCTTCATTTGCTTCTAACATCTCTAAAATCGCCTCTAAATCTTCACCTGCTAAAACTCGCTGTCGTTCGCCATGTTTGTTTGGAAGTGTGTGCAGGGTCGCTGTCACGTGACAGCCCTGTTCGTCGGCCCTCATAATCATTCCCCTCGATTAACTATGGCCTAACCGGCAAAAAACAATCAATCAGGTAAATAATGTTTTTGCTATTTCAAGTAATAGAACGAGAGTTATGGAAAAAAAGTCGGAAATAATACTATCCTGTTCGACAAGTTTGTATAAACAAGCACGGCCATGTGCATGTTTCGAAAAACTGAATGTCAGCCAATGGAAAATGCAGTGGTTGTATATACAACGTATACAAACAGTTGAAATAACGAATTCTTTGAAAAACTCATGTTCTGTACCTTGAACTTATGGTTGTTTTATCAATTTTTTCAAAAAAAAAGAAGGAAGGAAAAAGATTGCATGACGCTTAGTTTTAACACTGACGTCACTGGGCAATGATGCTTTTTTTTTACTCAGTTTAGGGCAATATGAAGGCACTTCATGCAACTAAGTATAGCTTGATAAGCTGTTTCTATTTTGTTTAGTTTAATATAACATGTATATTATGTATGTATACCTTGATGACAGTATATAATGTACATATATAATCGTGTGAGGAAGTAGCTGATCCCATTATATATATTTTTTTATCAGCTCTTGCAAATGTTCATGTTCACTTCGCATATGCGATTAGCTTTTTTTCTCATTTGATATATAATGCATTTATTATATTTACAATAACTAGACTTTGTATGTAATTTTTATTGACTTTTTATTAATTTTTATGACTGAATTGCAATCAGCAATGATTCTATGTCGGAATAAAATTGTTTTATTACTTGTGTATTAATTTTCGTAATGAGGATTTGTGATAAGGTTGTTGTAATGACTGGTTGTCGATTATTTTCCATTTTTTAAATATACTTGAACATACCGACTGTGCTTCGCTTTTGAAAAAGCTCCTTTGTCTTCTCGAGTAAGTATATATGATATACCGTTTCCATCGTTGAAAGACACTAGAGAAATTGCCTGTTGCTACTTGGTTAAATATTATGTGTTTTACCTTATTCCCATTGCAAGAGACTGTTCAACCCCTGGAATAAGTGTTGTATGTATACGGCTAAATTGATCTTCATATATCAAATACACGTCGACCGTTTTTTATCATGTTGAGGGCATAAAGTTAGGAAAAATAGCTTCTGCACGTTATGGGCTGAAATTTGGATCAGAAAATATCAACAACAAAAAAAGAAAAAACGTGAACAGTAAAATACATTTTCATTAGCTTGTTAACCCTATAAAGGGCTATTTTTGCACACTTTTAGAAWTCAGGCTCATCGCCAAGTGAAAAATTGAATTTGGCACAGMAGCTGATGAGAAGTATACGTGTTGTCGTACACATTTTTCCATGTGCCACATTTTTCCATGTGCTCTAACGCATTTAAGATTTACAATTGGCTTTTTTGAAGCTCATCAAGCGTTTGCACTGCCATGATGTAGGGATGCACGTCCCATTGATCAATCCTTGGAAATCCACGCAGAGTTTTTTCGAATTCCTCTAACTGACTTCCATCAAGTGGACAATTTGTGGGAGGAACAATAATTGCACCATCATCAATTCATTCGGAAAGTTGAATCGGGATCAATACCATATTCATCAATTTCAACCTGGCAATAATAAAAGTGGATGAATATTTGAAATCAAAAAAGAAATCGCAGTAAACGGAAATGAAATAAATAKTTGATAGGTGCTGAATTGTTTACCCTATCAAGCCTCTCGAAATATTCAGAGGCGACAGTCCCTTGGTTGTTACTTATTTCCTGCATACCCATTATAAACAATTGTATTGTGGTCTTGTTCCTAGCAGTTCTGATTTTGTGGTTGTTCCATGACTGGACGAACCTGTTAAGAGAGTCATTAATGACATCATAGAAAACTAAATGAAGACAGAAAAGGTGATGCTCGTCGTCAGGATCAAGTAGATTGTCGCTCTCCAGTGAATAGAATAAATCATAATACATGGACAGAAAGGCCTGGTAAACATCCCGCCAAAGTCTTTATATTCTAGAGTTATGAAYGCTTCTTCCGGTGATGTAGCTCCCTCGACCTGGTCCTCTTGCTTCATGGCCAAGCATATAGAATGCCACGTGTCGGTTTTCTACCCCCATATCGCCTCTCACTCGCGATGGAAGACCCCAATGTTCAATGACCTCACAGAAGTCGTTAACGTAAGCATCATGTATGTCACTATATCTAGATGTATTGGTGAGKTCATATTCCCTCATTCTGTTCTCTATCGTTCTCTTACTAAGACCAAGYATTAAGGCTATATCTTTGTTGGYAAAGTCGTTTTCGTTTTCTGTAAAAGAAAAAAATCAATAAAAACAAAACTTTATTTCATAACTGGAATTCTTTATAGCATTYACTTAACAAATAAACAAGGCTCAGCYGTGGTTTATACTCTGATAAACGTACGCTTGGCATTTGAAACACACGAGAAAATGCCAAGAAGCACGAGCTGAAATAAGACTATTTGTTTTATTATATGTATTTGAGCAAAACTAGCTTCATTTATTAAATCGCAAACCTGCAACGGTACCCCACCATTTAGAGCGGACTCAACTAAGATTTCAAGGGTAATTGCGATTGTACCAAGAGCTGGAGTATCACTTGTGCGACAATCCCTCAGTCGCTCACACGTATTCTCCAATGCATCGCGGAATTGTTCATTATCGCTAGACATTGGTAAATGGTATCTTGGAATCTGCTTAATCAAGTCAAGTATTGAATGCTAGTATTTAAATACTGAATACATACTGTACCAAACGTGAAAAAAAGAGGAAGACCTAATTTCAATTACGTAAAATATTGAGAATTGAGTTGTGAAAATCAGTATATAGAGCCTTACAAGCCTCGTTTAATTGGTACGTTTTAAGTCCTCATATCTCTACCGATATTACGATTTGAAACTAAAAATACGCCAATTCAGTTTAAATATACTCTTTCTTAACGTGAAAATAGAGTTTTAAAAACATGGACAGTCTAAGTTGCTCATTCCCACTCTTCTGCTCCTTTTTCATATGGTCAATAAAGCCATATAAAAAGTACACAATGCACTCTTCAAGTTGGAGAGAAAAACTAAAAACAGAAAATAGATATGACGTGAAGTGAAGTGGAAAATAGAATTAAAATGGTTGAAAAAAAGTGACTTATCTCCTCAGTTAAAAGTTATATCTCAAGAGGAAATCTTACACGTATTATTTAATCGATTTCTGTACTAATATTTTTACAAGTCCGATCGGTTTGGTGGAAAACAAGTCGGCTATATAACTGTCCTGGCAGAGTAATTAAGTATTTTTGACAATTAATTTTGTAAAGTTTCTTAGCATTTCCTTCTAAATTGCGTGATTCACCAGMCAAAAATCACTCAGAGTGGAAGAAAGTGGACTAAAACTGAAAAGAAACTACACACAAAGTGGAATTCCATATATTTTGCTATATTGCTAAAGAACATAGGTCGCATTAATTAATTAATAGAAATAAGCGTGCTCATAATGCAGATAATAGTGTAGTAAAGAGCTGGGGGATAATCTAGTGAAAAGGTGAATTGGTTACACATAAGAAAAATTGTAAATTGATAAATGTAGCATTATAAACRGAGGTAAATATWGGTAAATTGAATTGAATTCCTTACCCGCTGTACGGAGCACGAGGTCAAGAAGTGATGATGTGGCCAGAGATCAGCATCATATTTCATACTAGAATCCAATCTCCCTGAGATATTTTTGAAATCTCAGCGGGAGGGCTCGTAGCTAACATAGATAGCTGCACCATTCGTCAAGGATGTATTTTTGGTGGTGATGGCGCAAACTCTGTGGGAGATCAGTGTTTCGCTGGATCGTTTAACACTGATAGCTGGACAAATCAATGTTTCGCTGGATCGTTTAATACTGATGGCTAATCAAAGCTCTGTTTCGCTGGATCGTGAGATAGCTAGCTGTTTAAATCGGTGTTTCGCTAGATCGATTAACAGAGATAGCTGGACAAATAAGCATTTCGCTGGATCGTTTAACAGAATTAGCTGGACAAATCATTATTTCGCTGGATCGTTTAACATAGATAGCTGGTTAAATTGATGCAGCGCACCGTTTAATACAGATAGCTGGACAAATCGGTATTTCACTGGATCGTTTAACACAGATAGCTGGACAAACCAGTATTTCGCTGGATCGTTTAACACTGATAGCTGGACAAACCAGTATTTCGCTGGATCGTTTAACACTGATAGCTGGTTAAATTGATGTTTCGCTGCATCTTTTAACAGAGATCGCTACTCTATTTAATAAAAATGTATTTTTGRTGGTGACGGCCGCCCATAGYGTTAGAGCAGCAGCTACATCTAAGGCTAAGCCAAACAAAGCTTCCCTACTTGAGATTATGAATACAGCAGGGTGGAGTTGAGGTGCAACTTTTGCAAAGTTTTATGATAAACACATCGAGACAGAACAGTCCTTTTCTAACAGTGTTTTGTCTATTTAACGTGGAACATTATAATGTTGTTRAATAAGCGATTTGCACTAAGTGATCACATGATCTAATCCGCCATTGTGGCTGGCTTTTTTTGTTACGTAGTAACATACCTTTTCTTGTTAAAAATATACATTCAGTTGTTTTTTGCTGTTGATATGTGCGTAGAAATCGAAATATATATTAAAAAAACAGTTTTTCTTGACATCAAGACCGTCATTTTTCGTAAGCTGACCTTAGTTAAGCGGGACTTTTGGAACAAATCGCTTTAGTTTTGGACTTTTCTTAGTAGTTACTTAAAGAAAATGTGTGAATACAACTATTTTGATGCAGTTTAGTTATTATTGTACTTTGTATATGCTATTATAAATAGGGACGGACCTTGTGGTCGGATAGTGGTCGGACCTTGCCAGAAGTGCACAAAACATTAATGTAGTTATCACAAATTACCTTATGTATGTAATCATATATTTTATTCATTTTAATTGTTTATATATATTAGATTTTACTAATATAATATTCTTAGTTAGTTTATTATTATGTTCTTAGTTCACTATTACCAATACAATAAATATTCTTAGTTAGTTCATCATTGTATTGTGTACTTTCGCGCTTGTATTTGTTGTATTTTAGATCCTTCGTACATATTTTATCATATCTATTATCTTGTAAATTTTTTTATCTTTATATTGCTGGAATATCAATCAATCAAATCAGACAATCAATCAACTTTGTTTTAAGAGGGTAAACACGTGCCAGTAAAGAACTGATGAGCTTGTGGACCTCTATAATCTCACACTCAATACCTGTTTTGGACATGACCTTTATTGTATTAATCTTTGTTAGTTTTGATAAGCCCCCTTGGGGTATATAACATTCAAAAAATAGACAAGAATATGATAATTAAATTTAGTTGACGCTGAACTTTTAGGACGAAAAGAACACAAAATTGTAAGTATACGTAATCTTCATTTTCTCCTTTTTTCTAATCCTTTCATGTAAGTAATAATTTTGTAATCTGTTTCAGTTCTTCTTCTTCTTGTATAATCATTTATTCACGATTAAATGTTAAGAATCTGGGTGCAAAAATTGTGGTCGTTCAATTCAATACCTCTACATTAAGTATTTTAGCACATAACACTCCTCACATGTTGATTTTTGCTGAGAGAGGAAAACCGGAGGACCCGGAGAAAAACCCTCGTGGCAAGGGAGAGAACAACACATCAAACAAACTCAAACTCACATATGGTCCGTGCCCGGGAATCGAACCCGGACCACAGCAGTGAGAGGCCAGCAGCTTAACCACTAGGCCAACCATGCCACCMTAAATAATGCCTTTTAGTTTACTCTGATGATTGTCCGAAAGCTTAGTGTTTTAGTTTTTTGAKTTTAATAAAGTTTTTGCTAGAGAAACATAGCACTATCATAATGAAGCTAGCTAGCAACATAGACGTCTTATAACTTTATCCTGTCAAGAAGAGCTTGTTTAAAGAAAGGAGCAATTCAAAATGAGGTGATGTAGGCACATCTTTTCTCTCCACAGGTAAACTTCTTTGCAATGTCACCATCTGGAAACATTCGTTGAAATAGTCGAGAAATGTTCTCGCAACTTTTAAACTGTAATGACTAAGCACAGCCTTTAAAGACCATAAAGTTTCAGCAGCTAGGTGATCATTATTTATGGTGTGTGATTCCAATCCTTTTATATCAGATGAGTCAGTATGCTTAGTTGTCTTTAAGAGCGGCTGTCCGTATATTGTTTACATTACAATTGTTTACATTACAATTGTTTACATTAAAATCTGTTTTCTAGAAAAAAAAAAGAGTAATTAAGAGAGGCTGTCCGTAAATACCGACCAAGGCCTTGCAAGATCAAAAAATCAAAATCCTCCAAACTTTGTCAGAACATAGGCACTGATGAGCTATTACTTACGATATATTTCTTAGATCGCTCAGATTTTTATTTTAGGCGTTATGTTTGGGGGGCTATCGGGCACGTTTTATATTGTCTACACTGTGTGTCACTTCAAGCTCGATAACTTTCCATCCTTTAAGTCCAATTTCTAACAATTTTAARCAAAACAAGTTAAGATATATGACTAACATTCAGCCTTTTATTTTTGACGATAGGGCATGTATTTAATATTTTATCGATTTTTCACATTTGGCAAGAGTTTGCGTTTTTCGAAGACTTGAAAATTGGCAAACGTTAGAGGCAAAAATCACCACTTCCGCGGCTTCTCTGGACAAAACTAATACGTCAGTGCCTATGTTCTGTCAAAGTTTGAAGGATTTTGATTTTTTGATCTTGTAAGGCCTTGGTCGGTATTTACGGACAGCCGCTCTTAATTACTCTTTTTTTATAGAAGACAGATAACAATTGTAATGTAAACAATATACTGAGTTTGCTGTAAGCAAAACACATTTGTTTGCTTTCTTTACACTAATTCGGCGATAAGCCTTTCAATGTCATCCTCCATTAAATCGAATCATAAGTATCATACYATTCTTAATTGCAATCGAATGATAAATTAAAATTAATGAATCTCCCGAAAATATCAAATAATTTCCTTTAGTGTGCGGTTATRATATTAATGCCTGAACAGCGCAAAAGAAATCAAAAGAGAAGTCATGCATTTTTTAGTATAAATAGGGATGTGGCAAGGATTCATTTGATAACAAGGCTTGAGCTGCGATTTTTTTAACAATCATGTGATATAGGTGYATAAATTACCTACACTCGGGCTGTGACGTCATCAGATTCACAATGGTAGTAGCGGCCAAAGTAAGTCGCCTATGTTGTGCTTATTTCTCTTAACTGTTTACATTGATTAATGCAAATCTTAAAAGATAAGAATAAGTCAAGATCTTTTATTGAAATGATATGTAAACCGCTGTAAAACGTATCGAATTTCAGAAAAATAACTTATATCACATTATAACTCATCCAATCCATCATTTTCTTTCTCATCGAAGCGCTCTTTAAAGCTAAATCACTTTGTTTCAACCAGTCTTACCTTAACAAAAAGATTTTTCTATATAGCACTRCGACTTTTAGAGATATTTGCAAAAACGCACAAATACAATACTGGACAAAAACAGTTGAAAATGTTTTAAAAATCGCTGATTGTTGGAATCTCTCCGTATACTTTTTAATTTTTCTSATTCCCCCCTGCCCTCCCTCGCTCAAAGTCGTACTTTAGAGAGCACACATACCTACAAGGATGCACAAGAAGTATGCATGACCTGTCACCCCTGTCAAGTGGTTGGAGCACCCAATCCGCCAGAACCTGTTAGGACAACAGAGCTACCAAGTGGACCATGACAACGCATTGCTGTTGACATAATGACACCCTGTCCACGTGTTTGCTGTTGTGGACTATTATAGCCGCTACGTTGAAATACAAGTTATGAAGTCAACAACTACTGACAAGATAATCTCAAGTTTGAAGCGTATCTTTTCGACAAATGGCTTGCCTATCAGTATTGCTTCAGACAATGGCCYACAATTTTTCAGTGAAGAGTTCTGGAGATTTCTGGAAGATGAACGCATCAAGCATCGCACACCTCTGTGGCCACAATCCAGTGGTGAAATTGAACGACAAAATCTTCCATTGCTAAAATGCATCAGGATTGCTCAAGTTGAAAAGAAAGACTGAAAAGAGGAACTTGGAGCCTATTTAATGATGTACAGGGCAACAACCCACAGAATTGCTGTTTGGTGGTAAGCTGTGCAGCCGTTTACCAGGTATTGCAGAGGATATATTTGATGATTTAGATGTCGGAGACAGAGATAGCGAGGCAAAAGAGAAAGGAAAGCTCTACATTGATGAAAAGAGACATGCAAAGACAAGTGACCTAAAGGAGGGAGACAAGCTACTGTTGAAACAGGAATCATTGAGCAAAATGACTCCACCTTTTACACCACACCAATACCAAGTAGTGTCAAAGAGTGGTAGTACTGTCACTGTTGAGTCATCGAGCGGCGTGCAGAATAAAGGAAATTCATCACATCTAAAGGTTTTCAATGAACCAAAATCACCAGAGCCAGTAYCTCAACAACAAGAACACAAAGTAGTAAATGGAGAACAAGTATCTGACAAACGTCTTGTACCTATAGTACCTGATATACCTACAACACCTGATGCACCTGTAATACCTGATGTACCTGTAACACCTGATGTACCTGCAACACCAGTTGCACCTTCTACTTGTCCGACAAGGAAAAAAAACAATTCCAGCAAGATTTAAGGACTTTGAGCTGTATAAATAACTAGGAATATATTTGCATTGAACTGAATCAGAGACTTTAATTGTTATTGTGTATTGATATAATTTCTGTTTTTTTTTTTCTTGTAATCTGTTTCTATCGTGCTAATCGGGTAGTAGATGGTACAGCAAGCCGAATGTGTTTATAATTCGCCGTYAATAAAGCTGGCACAGCTTATGCAAGGATTACCGGCGAATTATAATTAAGGTGGAGATACTTATTTACAATATTTGGTTAAAACTACTGAAGSGACCAAACTCTTTTAAAAACCATATGGGAACAGTAAAACCAAGAAAGCGGAGCCGTACATTAGAACAAAGCCCAGTGTTTTAGCAAGAATTAAAGAGATTGAACTGAAAGGAAGCCCAAAAAATATCATAAATAAGCTAGAAAATACAGCAGGATAATTAGATTAATCCCACCCCCATCGTACCTCCCAAGGGATCGGCAGCAAGTATATAATCAATTGAGACAGGTGAAAGGACGTGTAAAATCAAGAAGCACCGGCCCATCGAAGGCACCCGATATGACCCAGCTAATATCATTATAACTATCAGGGAGGTTTTTAAAAGATGTTTCCTTTGGAGAGAGAGTGGATTAAAGACGCAATATACGGATTGCACCCAACACTCGACTGTAACTAMCGCTGAGAAATTGAAGGATACAAAGTCATAAGACTTGATCGCTTACGGAAAACCGGCGGGGKTGTCTTCTTATACACTCCCTCTTCACTGAAAGGCAAATGACTGAAAGACATATCTGGAATATCTGAACTTGGATTTCACCACCTGTGGGTGCAAATACAAYTCAAGAGCTTAAGATCAATTCTGATTTGTGTAACATAAAGCCCTGATTATTGTCCAACGTCTTTCTTCCTGGATAATTTCACGGAAAAGTGCACCCACGCACTCACTTTAGGAAAAGAATAACTGGCTCTTGGAGATCAGAATTGCGACCTTTTAAAACCAGCATCTCCAGAAGCAGCTGCGCTAATTGAATTTGAGTAATTCAGCTACTTTAACACAACTRATAAAAGACCCTACTCGTGTTACAAGTACATCACCTTGTCTTATTGATGTAATTTTGACTTAAAACTGCAACCTGGTGGAGGATTATAACAACCCACATAAGTGATCACTATTTGATTCATGTCTCTATGAAACTCAAGCTCCCAAAACATCTTGTTAGCCTTGTGCGCACAAGAGTTTTTAAGGAATATACACCTGATAAGTTTTTGGCTGATTTGCAACGAATTCCTTGGCAAGATACTGTCAGTCTTGATAATCCAAGTGAGATGCTACATCACTTTAATGCTAAAGTTCCTTGGAGTTATTGAAAACCATGCACTCATCAAGACAATAAGAGTCAAATATCGACCCAAAACGTCGAGTGACTATGCGCAACCGATATAGATTGYTCAAACGGGCTCGTCAAACCAACTGCGAAGTCGATTGGCAGTTTTACCGTGAAATGCGTAGCAAYGTGAAAGCAGAGTTGCGTGAGGCGGAAAAGATTACGTCCAAGTTCAGCTTAATAACAGCCATAAAGCTAGCTCTAAATGGAAAGTGATCAGGAACTGCATACCACGCAATGAATGTTCCAAGCAAGTCTACAAAAAAAAAGAAAAAGGTTAGTGAAGAGTTCAATCAGTTCTTTACTTCAGTAGTGCAAAAGCAGCTATTGATTTCCAATCGATTATCAGCCTACACAGTSTACCTCCACCGCCAACAAGGATAACTTGAGAGATCACAGAGAAGTTCTACTTCACCAGTGTCACTTGTGCAGAAGTRCAAAAAGTTATCATGGCTTTTCCATCTTACAAATCTCCTGGGGAAGACAGTATTAATCCTTGTAAACTTCTGGCCWAATTACACACTCTCGGTCTGGAACGCAGCGCTTCGGATTGGTTCAGAAGTTACCTAACCGCTTTGGATATGTACGTGCCRCCAGCGRTCGAAATCCCTGACCCTGTTTAAGACACTAAAAAGTAAAACTCCATAGAGTGCTCGCACTTAAAGCGTGAAACAAATGGCACTAATTACGACTAAATAGTGTAACAAAGGAATCTGTATAATTTATCACCCATTTTGTAGTATTTATATTTCACCCATTTAGACAATCAATGAGATGAAAATATGATTACAACAAAACACAATCAATGGGATACAACGGGAATGTAATTACAACAAAAACCCAATCAAAGGGATACAATGGGAATGTAATTACAACAAAACCCCAAGTAATGGGATACAATGGGAATGTAATTACAACAAAACCCCAAGTAATGGGATACAATGGGAATGTAATTACAACAAAAACCCAAGTAATGGGATACAATGGGAATGTAATTACAACAAAAACCCAATCAATGTGATACAATGGGAATGTAATTACAATAAAAACCCAATCAATGGGATACAATGGGAATGTAATTACAACAAAAACCCAATCAATGAGATACAATGGAAATATGATTACAACAAAAACTCAATCAATGCGATACAATGGGAATGTAATTACAACAAAACCCCAAGCAATGGGATACAATGGGAATGTCATTACAACAAAAACCCAAGCAATGAAGAGTGTAGTAATGATGAGGGAACTTGAACTATAAATGACTTGTCATCTCTCGAAGAGGTCATAGAAGTATTTTTTGTTTTTGTTAAATTGCATTTATACATTCTTACTTATTGAA